CTCTGGAGAATTACCTGAATAATTCCCACCGGTGTAAAATATTTGTCTATCATGGATTCACCTTCTTGTTACATGACGACGCTTCCCCAAGCGATTTTCTTTTATAGATAAGAATACGAGATTCTGTTTCACTGCCTTCACGTCGATGCTGACTCGACGTCGCACTTTATGGTTCAGGCCTGGTATAAAACTCATTCCCGGAATAGTTCGCGTTGCAAAGATTTACCGTGTTATGCACTACCGCTCGTAAGTATTAGGACACCTGATCTGTATACAGAAAACGTGATATTTCGTAAGAATTTTATATATTTTAGGCCACGTATATTATTTCATACTAGCATAAACGTTGTCCATCGAACATAAATACTCCCTAAACAATATTTCTTTCAGACAATTCATAATGTCTTATAACAACACTGCTGAAGTTTATGCAAATTCATAATTTCAGATAATAATATCTAAGAACCAAAGTGAAGCAGAATTTTGAATTCTGTGTCAGAGGATTTACTATGTCAGTAATAACACATAAATAGTGTTAAACTTTAATAAAACCTCTACTTTATTGCATTTTCCAAGTTAAAGGATACTATAAATGCATAAATATCCGCAGTCTAACATTTACTGCATATTCGATAAGTATCGTAACACGTATGGACGAGAGTATAAGTACATAGACAGTTTTCAAATTAAATTTGAAATATCGTGATTCAAAGAAGATCTCAAGAAATTTCACACAGATCTATGACATATATCTTACATTCTGCATCGATAAATCATCTCCAACGTTGTTCTAAATCACTGCAACTAATTGGCTATTTCAAAGCGTATAAATCACTTGTAGCATTTATCGTAAAATTACTGGTCAAAATTCAGCACGATAATCTCCCCTGGACCGTTCATCCCGTAATTCAAGCGTGAAGAACTCATCAAGATCTATAATATTGTTTCACTTCGTGAATCCTCTATTGATGCACTCCGTTAGCAGCCTCCGTCTCGACGACGACGACGACTCGGACTAACTTCCGGCATCGACTTTTCTCCCCGTCTTTTTCTTCGCTTTCCGCTTTAAGAACGCGCCGCGCACTGGATGCCGAACAAGCGCCGCTTAAAAGTACTTTCATAGCGGGACGACTAATTAGAGCGATTTAGCGTCCGTCGTTGACGTTTATTTGGAATGCATCCCTCGCCCAAACCCTCTTCTTGCTCTGCCTCACTCTCGGCCAGGTTTCTATCTCTCTGCTCTTGCCTTTCTCTATTCGTTCTGCCTATTACTACCCCCTTTTCTCTGTTCTTCGCTGTTCATTCACCCACCTCCCTTGTTCTCCTATTCCCCTTCAATTCTGACTGTTCCTCGTTTCATTTCTTCGTCATTCGACTCTTTTCCCTTTCTTCGACTCCTAGCTGTTCATTCTGCAACCCTGTTCTCCCGTCTTTTTTCTAGCCCGTCTATTTTTTGTTTCTCTATCTCACGTTTCTCTCTGTTTTTCATTTTTACGAAGACAACAGTCCTTAGTAAGTTATTTACTTTATCTATTTCTATAAAATATATCATTTATAAACGCTAACTCTTTCGCTGTACATACCTACATCACTGTTTATATTTATTAGGCTGCTTGGGCTGTATGTATGGGCATGTTATCAGTCCAGAGGGGGGGAGGGGGGTAAAATTTATCTGAAGGTAAATTTCCTAATATTATTTTTTTCCTCTAGGGAAAGGGCAAAATCAAATTTTTCTCTAAGATAAGAAAAAGGCTACTTCTTTCCCTTTAGGGGCTGAGGGTTAAGTTTTCCTCCTGTCCCTCCCCTGGCGACACACATGTCTCCATGTAGAAAATGTGATGTTTCATAGAAAGTATGTATTTTAAGCCTAACTTATTATTTCAGACTAGTATAAGTCTTGTCCATCGAGCTTTACATATCCCTTAAACAATAATAATTTCGGACTTTCAGTCTTTGAACATTTATTACATTCGTATTCGATAATTGTCCTGATACTCATAAGCGGGAGTTTACATCTAAGTAGGTGAGGAAATTAAGAATACATGGCCTGAATTACTTGAGAATGATTTTAATGGAACAAGCATAACATTTCCATACACCTAATACATCATTCCATCATAAACGAAGCCCCGATTGCGTTCCCATTGGCGTTCGAGACCTGAAAGCGCCGCGGGAAAACGTTCGCACCGTGTGAATCGGTCTCTTCTCAGCGGCGATTGCTCTCAGCCCCCCCATTCGGTTCCCTCTGTCGAGGTTCGACTGCGAAAAGGTGGCGACGAGAAACGGCCGATGGAAGGGCGGGATGGCACGGTTGAATGGTAGGTAATCGAATGAATGGAAAGAGCCGCCTGGATGCTTTCGGGTCGTCAGACCCGACTGAAAGGGATGTTAGGTGTTGTTTAAGGGTTATTGTCGCGAAACCCCCTTTTGTCCAGCGGGTACGCGATGCAATCCGTTCCGTCGTTTCAGCGTTAAATGTAATTTATTGGAGTGGAAACAAAAAGTGCGTTATCTTGATTACTGTCACACCCGTGACTTGTTCTTTTTATTGTTCGACGCGTTTAAAGGGGGGAAATTGCGGATCCTCCGATAGGGGATGAAAGTCTGGAAACCGTGGCCTTATTATAAAAGTGTAAATGGAATTATAAATTTCTAACGATTGCGCAGGATCAACCTTCTTCAAGATTAATATCAACGTTTATAGTAAGACTGAGAAATTTTATTCGGTTGTGGGGCATGAAATGTGCATTTCATTACCGTCGGTTGATATTTTATTGTACATACAAATTTAAGATTAAATATGGTCTAGTATGTGTCTTTTCATTCAAATGCAAGATTTACGTACCGTGTTATGTTTTGTTACATATTGTGATACGAAATTTTCACTAAATTCGAAAATACTTTTTACTGCCATCGTTTCACCTAATGGTGTCAATAAATAGTATTTCTAAAAAATAAAATAGTAAAGATTAATTCTCTACCTTAAAATTAACTTCACCAGTATTAGACACAATCTTATTACTATATTAGATAGTATAATACCTCGAAATAAGTAGACTATACTGTGTAATTGAAAAAAAAAGGGTGCCACGTTAATAATTTTCATTCACAGAATAACGTCAAGTACACCCATCAGTAAAATCGCTCGTTCCATGTGCAACGACCTTATTTTCATAATGATTGTTCCACGTTCTGATAGTTCTGACTACGTTTTAATAACTACAATCTTGGACAATGTTCGTCCCCTCATTCTCTATCAATTAGACTATCTCGTCGGTTTATCTGCCCCGTTACCGTAACAGAGACCGTCGGTCTTTTTCGTTGGACAACGAATTACCGGCGACTGTGGCCCCGCAATTTATACCAAATTTTAACGGCAACGATTATTCACGGCTGACCCGTATACGTACAGCTGCGCGAAACCCGGTAAACCATAAATGTGGTTTTCGTGACCATAAACTTCTGCCCCGACAATTACGCTTGTAACTTTCTTTTCGAGGCCCGCAAACGCGCGCGGCGTCGTTCTCCCAGAAACGCCCAGCGCTCAGTCCGGCTCGTTTGCGGGGAAAACACTATTTTCGGAGTGAACCGCGGAAACAAGCGCGGAGGGAGAATGGGCTCCGTTGTTCTCGTCGAAATATATCACCTCTTTGACTAAACGATCGTTCCTTCGCAATGAACTTGTTATTTCGTGAAAATTACGATTGTAGCGCGTTGGAGGGTTTGTCTGTGAAATTCAATTACCGTTCACGGTGCTTCCGAGGACAATACGTATAGTGAATCTTCGAACAGAATAGTGACAAAAATATAAATAATAGGTAAACTTTAGAAATCTTTCATCCACGGTGATTATTTTGTTCGATAGGATAACGGGTTGATTTAGTCTTCGGGTGAAAAATGAGCAAAGAAAGTATGCTACTGATTCTACAGTAAAATGACAGTAGATAGCGCGGTTCTTGCTTCGGCCTTATTGAAAGAGGGTAGAAGGGCGAGCCAATGTATTGTAGAATTGGATCTACTATTCTTTACAATTACATATTCAGTAGCATTCAATTGCAACTATACTGAGGGAATATTGTACCTGAGAAGCAGGATTTCCAACGGCTTATTACATAAAGATTTTACAACGTATCAGATTTATGCTGAAACAATTAAGTGTATTATACAGAGATATCCATTCAGTAGATGTATAAATGTAAAAATAAGCTTAAAACAACACATAAGAATTCGTTCAATTCTACTTATTTACTCGAAATAATTGAACTTGTAAACGAAACGCATAAAATTATGAATGAACCAGCGTACAAAGCGATCCATTCAAACTGCCGCGGTTTAATCCCCGTTCTCCGGGTAAATGTCGAAGAAAAAGTTGTACGTTTTAACGAGGTCTAACTTTCTACGACCTTCTTT